GCCCGTCACGGGCCGGTTCCACCCGTTGAGCCCACGAAGCCCGGGACCGCCAGAGCCCAGGCCAACGAAGCCCAGACTCACGAAGCCCGGCCCGTTTGACCCACGAAGGCCCGGACCCGGCCCAGAATACAGTCCTACCCTAAGCCACCTATTACCCTATAATGAAGGGGCGGGTTTGTTGGTTGTACAATTCTAAAATTATTTATTTGCAACTGTGGATTAAGACTCATGGAAAGCTTCAAAAATATCTGAATTGTCGTGAAGCTCATCATTAAAGGGTTACGCTTATAGGTAGTGAATCTGCTTTTATTATTAGTATTAATTTTTGGGAGTTGATTTTGTTTCAATATGATTCTTTTTCAGAAAATTTTAACTTTGATTAGTAGTGCTGGAGTTTTTGTAATTAGTATGGTTTCGTGTTCTTTATTAGCATCGCTTTCGGTTATTTCATGTTTTAATTATGGTATATTTGTCTTAAACTGTATGTTTGTACTGCCATCGTGTACCTTAGTAAATGCAGAGCCCTTTAAAAGATAGATTATTTCTTTAGAATATATATATATATATATATATATATATAAAATTTGTGTTCAATAGAATTATACTAATAATTTCCTAAGATGGATTAATTCATGAAATCCTAATTCCAATCAAGTTGTCCTGCATATTCTTGAAGTCACAAACTATACTAATTCCACATGATCTTACGCCTCATTGAATTTTTTAATAATAGGTTTTCAGCAATTGCTACATGCAGGTACTGGGCTTTTTAAAGGTAAATAATTTTCATATCACATAAATTCTCGGTCGAAAATTTCTTCATATTGAAGTTCCAAACTATAGCAATTCCACGTGGTTTTTCAGCCATAGCTTCGTTACATTTGCTAATAATACATTTTAATTATCATGAACCCTTGCCGCATGCTCAGAATATGGGTCTCCTAGAGGTAATTAATTTCCTTCATGTATTTCAGTTAGGTTGTATTAGTCTAAAGGTTGTTCAACTATTTGCGGAACATGTTGTTGTGTTTATTTTAATAAAAGTGATTTCTAGGATTTGTAATCTTCTATAGTTTGTGTTTATATCTTATTATTTCTTGATGACATAATTCCTCAAAAGATAATATCGTAATATTAGTACATTTACTTAATAATTAAAACTTAAAATCGATTGATTGCCCTTTGAAATATATAAAAGGAACAGTCGTTTGAATGAAAGAAAAGCATTAGAATTTCCTCTTCTTCTTTGGAAAAACGAGAAATAAGTTTATGAACTACGGAGATTGGGCGAAAATTATTGTTCAATGGGATTATTGTTCTTATTCAAGGATATAGTGAATAGTATTTTTCAACAATTAAAAGGTAAGGGATTAAGTAGAATTTAATTATTATTAGAACATAAATTAAATTTTAAAGTTGATATTCGATTATAATTTGAAGAAGAGAAAGGTAATCATTAGGAAAAACACTACACGAAAATGTGGAAAGCAAATCGTACGCTGTTCTTGTTCCGTAACGATAACTCCATTAGTCTCAATTTAACTAGAATGTAATTAGTTAATGATTTTCAGCAATATCATAGAATTTTCTCTTTCATAACTTCAATCAAGAAAAGTAAAATAAATTAAAAAGAAAAGGACCCTAAACTACTTTCATAATCTATATCTATACCGACGTATTAACTTAATGTTGACATGATATTATATTAGTATTTAAAAGTAAATTTAAAATGGATGATAAATCAGTTATTTGTTCTCTTTAATATTAAGTGTTTGGTTCATAAACATTGTTGGCACTTTGGTAACAAATAAATTTGTATCTATAGAAAACAAAAAGTTTGTAATAAGTCAATTGCTTTACAATCATTTTCTTTCGTATAAATAATTAAATTAAAATTTAGGTGCAACTCACATACATAAAAGCTAGTTTCTGAAAAAATATGAAAGACGATAAATAAGAAAAGTTCAAGGAATTACATGGAAATATAATAAATTCATAACAGGAAATATGAAAAATGATGAAACAAGAAAAAGTGCAAGGAATTACATGAAAATATAATAATTTCGTAACATGGATTTGCAGTATCTCATGGCATAATTGCCATTAAGCACATGTTATAAAATTATCAGCGAGAATATGTGTACAGCTACAGCAAAACCAACAGCCACTACAGTCGCTATCACTTTTACAATGACTTCCACAAGTTAGAAAAAAATCATTTTGTTGTGGGAGTAATCTCCTTTGAAGTCCCGATAGATCAGGATCAATATCACGTACAGCCATAACTTGAGTCGTAGTGAACCACGTCAAGTTCACTGAAAAATGTCACAATCGCAGTTATCAAAATCAAAATTATAACAGAAAAACACATATCCGAAGATATATACATATAAATATTAATTGCACAACCAATTATATTGAATTATAGAGATAGTCACAAGTGTAGTAATGTAAAATCAAATTTTAAATATAAAGTGAGAAAATACTAACCAATGGTTGCTAGGAGAAGAATAGCATAAAAGAAACCATGGTTAAGCAATGCCATTCTACTAAAAAAATGTACTTCAAGCTTTGTTGAAAACTTGTGTTTGAGCATTTTTCTCCTTTTCAAAGGGCACAATTTATAGCCATCTTATGTTATGAATTGTCTTCTAAAATAATTTATAGTCGTTTTTTACTTTCTTTTTCTTTATTACTTATTGACCTTTCTTTATGTTTAAATCCTGCTCGGCCTGACACCATTATTAGTATTACAATTAATAGTTCGAGTGTTCTCTCCCAGACTTTTTCAGAAAAGAAGAATTTCTACGGGATTGTTACACAAATAGTTGGCCAGAATCACTGTTTACTTATTTAGCTGATATACATAGATTATATATTAATCATACATAATTATATACATATTATATATGAATTATATATATATTATACACATATCGGCTATTTTTTAGTTTAAGAGATTAGGTGGACGACTAGTTGGGTTAATATTAATTCATATAAATTGACTGAGAGATCTTAGCCCGATAAAAAATTATACATTAACACGACTTCAGATCCAATTTTTTCGATAGAAACATGTGAGTATTTAAGAGGAATTATGCCAATAACATTTTGATAATGATGACTAGAATATGCTATTAAACTACATAGAATTCATTTAATTAGAGGAACTTAAAAATACTTCTTTTTCAACTATGCATGTTCTCATGTCAGAATTTTAATTGGGTACAAAATTTTGTAATTAACAATTCAAATAAACTTCCTTGTAATATTTCTCATTAGCATTGAGGAAATGTACATTGCACAATATATACGGTTAAAATCGGACCTACCCAATTTTACTATTTGATCAAGACAAGAGAGTTGCATCGGGAGTAGCCTCATAATGAATCAGACCCGAACTCGAAGACGAGGCATCGAGTCTAAAGATCGAAGTGTCTGTTGAGATCGAGGCCAGCAGCAATCGAGACTAAGCAATAAGCATGACCGACTTCGAGTGAAGTGCAATAACGGAAAGGCGAGATATCCATAACCGGTTGAATATCACGCCGAAAATTTCGAAACAGATCAAATGAAGGGCGGTTATTTGTACCAATCATGAGATTTACTTCCGTAAGTAGAATTGTACTATAATTAGGATCCCTCTACTATATAAAGGGGGGTCCCCATTGTGAGCACGTGATTTTTGCCCTACATGAAAATAACTCCTAAAAATAGACCAAAAATAATTTTTATTGATTTTAGGAATCTTTCTTTATTTATTTGCATTCATGCATTTTTAATATTTTTAAATCATAGAAAAAATTCTAAAAATTATCATTTTTACATATTTAACTTTTAGTCTTTTAAATTAGTATTTTTCTTTAGTTTTAAGTTAATTAGTTGTTTTAATGTTAAAAATAAATAAAGAATTTTAATTTCTACAAAAATAGATTAATTAATTAAAGAAAAGAAAAAAAGGAGAAAAGGAAATTAGGAAGAATGTATTTTTGGTCTTGTTTCTTCTAAAATTGGGCCAATTCCTAAAGGCCCAAATCAATTCTAAACTCCAACCCAATTCCAATACCCATTTGACCCATTACTCCTTTTTCATTTCTTATACCCTAATCTCTCACATAAAAGGGGAGCTAAGGCACAAAAGAGAGGGGAGAAGACCCTTCTTCTTCAGAGCTAGAGCAAAAACGACGCTACACCCCCTGCTTCTTCTTCTCATTTTCACTCAACAATGGAGACCCCTTAAAGTGTGGACCTCTCACTACTTCTTCCTTATTTTTTTCTTTTTTCTTTTACCCAAAAACAGAGAAAGGGAAACTCTCCTTCTTCTTCTTCTTATTCTTCTTTTTCTTCTTCTTCTTCAAAGTCACGACATCCATTTTATTTTGAAAAAAAAATCAGAAAAATCCTCTAATCTCCATTGTCACTCTCTTGGGCAAAAGAGAACTCATCAATGACCCTCCCCTCCCCGAAAACACCTTCAGCCATTTCCAAATAGCCCCGAACGCCCCTCAACAGTCATTAACCACCCCTCCTTTGGTCTTTTCTTCATCTCATTTCAATCTCACCACCCACACTCAATCCCACGCACATACGTCTGAAATGGTTAAGAGAAGCAGCTTGAGGCTCGGACATCTGTGGTTCTAAAAAAAATCAAAACAAAAAAAGAGTAAAATTTCAAATCTGGGTTTGTGTAAGCCGTGGAAGTTCGAATTTGTGATTATATTGATGACTTTGGTTGTGTCAAAGCTGTTGAGCTCTAGTTTGCAGTGGCCAGACCTTCATTTGTCAATCTCAGTTATTCTTATTGCCTAGGTACACATGTATATCCCTATTTCTTCGAGTTAAAATCTAGTGAAATCTGAATCTTTTTTTGTCTAATTTTATAAGTGTAGCATGCTTAATGACTGAATTTGCTTGAGAACTTCTTCTCCATCAATTTCTGATGATAGTAATGTGGTTAATTGAACAAGTAAGTATGTTAGGCCCTGGTGATTGATGTAGTATTTCAGTCGGTTAATTGGATGGAAAATTGCGTTACTTGTTTGATTTTGTTTTCTCGGCTCTTTCTTTCTTTGTCTTTTCTTGTTGTTATAGAATTAGCCGAGACAGATTCTGGAATTTTAGTTGTTTAACGTGATGTTAATAGAATTTTAGCTTTGGGTTTGGTACCATTGTCTGTTGATTCTGGAAGGTGTAAAGATTGCTTTAAATTTGGGAAGAAAACATGTCAAGGCATAGGCAACAATTGTGGAGTGATACTACTTCCACAATCACTCTATAACTAATAACATCCACAAAAATCTCATAGATTAGGAAAATAATCCAAATGCGCTAGTTGTTTTAGGAGTGATTAATAAGCTATTGTGACTATGGGTACGGTTCCCGTGACATAGTTACGATGCCTAATTCCAAAATTCGGGGGTGCATCTCATGTAACCCGATTATAACAACTCCGAATAATAAACCCCTTTGAAATAATCTGAGGCGTGCCATGCCAAAGCAAATTCCAAAACTCATGGCCCTCACTTAATTAAGTTTAACTTTTAGAAATCGAGGTGTGCCATTAGTGAATCCATGGCCCTCGCAAACTTGAAAGTGCACAGTTGCTTTAGGCGCACAATTTAAATTAATTTTCTTAAACTCGGGTGTGCATTTCATGTGACCCAAATCCAAATCTCAATAATGTTAAATAAAATGTGTCGTAGACCGCGAGTGCATTTCATGTGACGTGGTTCAACGCGTATTTTAAATAATGTTGAATCTTCCGAATAACTAATTAAAGCGGTTATAAAGTTAAAAATGCACATAGATTTAAAGGTATTTTTTAAATCAGATAATAGGCCAATTATAACAGTTGAGCGACCGTGCTAGAACCACGGACTCCGGGAATGCCTAACACCTTCTCCCGGGTTAACAGAATTCCTTACCCGGATTTCTGTGTTCGCGGACTGTAATACAGAGTCAACTTTTTCCTCGATTCGGGATTTGAACCGGTGACTTGGGACACCATAAATTATCCCAAGTGTCAACTCTGAATTTTTAATAAAATGATCCCGTTTCGATTGTCACTTCAAGTTGGAAAAAACTCCCTTATATACACCCCTTCTCGGGGGTGTAGGTAAAAAGGAGGTGTGATAGCTCTGACGACTCTGCTCGGGATCGAACCTAGAATCTCTGGTTCAGGGTTCAAGAATTCGAGCTTAGATGAATTGTTATAGTTGGCTTTATCCATTATTTGATTTTGTTACATGTTTGGGCCTAATGGGCTAATTGTTGCTTTTACCGCTTTGATATTCTGTGAACTGTATATAAACTGCTACGAAGCCCTTCCTCTCTCTGAGTCTTCTAAATAATGGAGAAGTGTGCATTTCGTGTGACTTCTCTTCTGTTAGAGTCATATCCTAAATTTTAGAACGAGGTTCGGACAAGTTTCAAAGCCGGTGAAGCTTCTGTATTCCCAGTACGCTGCCCTCCCTCGGCTTGAGCTATCCGCTCGGGTAAGCCATGTCTAGAACAATAAACCCAGGTTTTAAACCTAGTATAACAAGACCTCATGTCGGATCCCTAATAGGAACGTTTGTTTGCATCACGTGCATCTAACTTTGGGGACTCAACACAGGGGTTGGGTCCGTCTAGGACAGGTGTACCCAAAATAACAGACCATCTTGATGCATCCTATGTGCTACATGTTGCATTTAATCAAGGGTAAAAAGGTTATTTGGCGGACCAATGATAATTGAGGACAAATGAAAAAATAAAAAAAGAAAAAAAGAAAAAGAGAGGGTGACATGTGAAGATAAAGCGAGTGGGGCCTAATTATGTTTTCTGTCACATTTTTGTTAAGAAAAAAAAGAGCTTGAAAATTCGAAAAAAAAGATTTTGCACTTTTTCATCATTTTCCGAAAAATCAAAAAAAAAATCCAAAAAGATTTTGCATATTTCATCAATTTTTCAAAAAAAAAAAGAGACAAAAAAAAAATGTTTTCTCTAAAATTAGTTATTTTTTTTAATTCTTGCCCGTATCCAATTTTCCCGAACTATGCCAGTTTGATTCTCACAGGGTGTGAGATACGTAGGCAACCCCATCGGGTCCAACTTTCTTTTTGCAAAAATAGCCCAAAAGAACAAAAGTTTTAATTTTATTACAAATAAGTAAGGTGATGTCATTCTTGTCTAAAATAGTCGAATGTCCTCAAAGGGGCGCCGAAAGGTCGTTTTTGCAAGAATAGCCATCTTTGGTCATTTTTCAAGGTTTTTGTCGGTTAGCGAACACAGCCTTAAAATCTTCATTTTCGGAGCGCTGAAAGGCCGTATTGGCAAAGCCGAATATTTTTGTGAAAATTTTTAAAAAATGGTCATTTTTCTTGAGTCAAAATGAGTCATAGTTTTCTCTTAATTAAAATCACCTTAATAAATGTGCAGGATGAGCACAATTCAAAATGAACCTTTCTGAGTCCGTGAAGAGATACCGTTGGAGCTACATATATGGTGGCATGATTTGGGGGACAATAGCAGGGAAGTTGTGATAAAAACGTTGGGTGGTCTTGTCGGGCTCTTGAAGGTTAAGCCGAGAAAGGACACAATTGAGGCCTTGATACCATTTTGGGACCCAGCACATAATGTATTCCACTTTGCTAAT